GCTTAAGCTACTATTTGTTTATTTAAGTTTTAAGCTACTGTTTTGCTCATTTTAGCTTTTAGCTAGTTTTACCAATGTTTTGTTACATGTTTGGCTAATTTTAGTTTAAGGTACTGTTTGTTTATTTAAATTTTAAGCTACTCTTTTGCTAATTTTAGCTTTCAGCAACAGTTTAGCTTTTTTTTTGTTTTTAGGAATTTTGATCATTTTAGCTTTTAGCTACTGTTTTGCCAATTTTAGCTACAGTTCAGCTAGTTGTTAATTTTAATTAATGCTTCCACCAATTTAAAGAAACGGTCATTAGTAAAAGCCATTTCTCTGGACTGATAACTCTAGTCTGTCCACAGGTCAGTCGTGAGCGCGCGGCGCGCTCCCGCCCAGGGGAAGGTATTTGTAGCGGATCCTTTCCGAGCACAACACCTGTTCCGGTTCAGCTGCTGCACTTTGACCCCTGCCCGCGCTCAGCCACGCTGCTGCTCCTAACGTGACCGCAGACACGCGTCACGCTCAGAAAACGAGCTAATCTGGTGGTTTTAGGATTTTTAATCTGCTCCTGGTTCGTGTCAGCCGAACAAAGAGAGCAGCAGCCGCAGCTCGCTCCGCTGCAGGCTGCGGGTTAATGTAATGAAAGGGAAAATGTCACCAGGTCGATGAAGGTGAGGAACTTCCAGCTGCCTCCGTAGGTCTGGTGAGCCGGCATGTCCAGGGCTCGGTAGTGGCAGAGGATGGAGAAATAAGACAGCAGGATGGCGACCCGGAGGACCTGACAGGGGATCAGCGCCATGATGTTCCTTCCGCCTCTCTGGCTGCTGTTTCCTCCTCCTCACCCTCCTGCTTCCAGCTGACTGATGTCTGTTTACTGGGTTTATTTCCTGCTCCTCTGCTCCTCTGCTCCCCCTCCTGCTCCTCTGCTCCGCTGCTTCCGTGTTATGGTGATGATGATGATGTAAGGGGGCGGTGCTACCCATGATGAAGGCTGCACCTGATCAACGTGGTTTCTGTTTGTTTGTAGCTTCACGGTTTATGTTTTGTTGTTTACTCGTCAACAGCATTGTGTGGATTTATTTTGTAGTTAAGGTAAGACTTTTATAAACCCCATGATTTAAACCGATGACCTTCAGTCAGTGACGGGAGGAAATGGCGGGAAAAAAAAAGTCTCAGAATACTTATTTATATTTTAATCAGATGGTAGATGAAAGGCTTTTAGCTTTTACCTAGAATTCTGCTTCTTTTAAACAACTTCTTTGCTTTCACTACTTTTAGCTATCTGTACTTTTAACTAGCCTATCACTAATTTTAGCTTTTGGCTAGGCATTTGCTAATCATTGCTAACGATAGCATACCTCTTGCTGTTTTTAACGAGCGTTTTGCAGCTTCTACACAATCTTTTTGCTCCTTTTACATTCTGGCTAGCATTTACTACTTTTAGCTTTAAGTGAAAACTTAACTAGCCTGTTGCTAATTTTAGCCTTTGGCTATCCACCTGCTAATCCTAGCTTTTAGCTAGTGCTTTGCTACTTCTACATAGCCTTTTTGCTTCTTTCAGGTTTTAGCTAGCATGTGCTACATTTAGCTTTAAGTTGGAATTTTGAGCATTTTACCGGCCTTTTTCTACTTTTAACTAGCCTGTTGCTAATTTTAGCTTTTGGCTAGGCATTGGCTAATGTTAGCTTACCTCTTACTGAGTTTATCTAGTGTTTTGCTGCTTCCATACTGACGTTTTGCTCCATTTTTTGTAGCTAGCATTCAAAACTTTTAGCTTTTAATTAGAATTTTTCTACATTTAACCAACCTTTTTCTACTTTTAGCTTTTGCTGTTTTCTAATGTTAGCTTACATTTATGTTTGGAAAGTGTTTTGTTGTTTCTAAACAGCTTTTTTGCACTTTTTGTGTTCTAGCCAGCACTTTCTAGCTAGCTTATTGCTACTCTAGCTCATAGATAGGCATTAGCCAACGTTAGCTTATTTTTAGCTGCTTGTAACTAGTGTAATGAGATTTTTTTCATTTGGCTAAGCTATTGATGCCATTAGCTTCTACCATTTTGTTTCTTTTAGCATTTAGCTACAAAAATAGCATAAAATAAAGTGACACTTTATTGATCCCCATCAGACAAGTTCATAATTAAAATAATTAAAACTTGTGCATCTTTTAGCTTCTAGCTAAAATTTTGATACATTTCAAATGCTGCTGCTTTTAGCTTCAAGCTGGCTTTTTGGTACTTTTAATGTTTAATCGGCATTTTACTAGTTTTAAGCTAGCCTATTGTTTTTACTTTTGGCTAGCCTTTTGCTGCTATTAGCTAATCCTTTGCAACATGTATTTATTTGTCATATTGCTTGTTATAGCTAGCCTTTTATCACATTTATCTTTTAGCTACGGTTTTGTTTTACTTGGCCAAAGATTTCCTACTTTGTTTGCTTTTTTAGCTTTTACAGCAAATCTCAGGAAATTTCTTTCAACACTTCGCCTCATGCTGCGCTTTCATAGAAAGTTACATTTATCTCACACGGGCTAGATTAAAAAATGTTATTGCCCAACTAGTTTCAGCTTATCTTTGGCCATGGCGGTGGATTATTTTTTAAATAATGGACTCAGGAATTAAACAAATCAGCTGTTCTTTATGGCAGTTTATTACAAAGGAAATGAAGAAATGTATAAAATAATATTATAGCATGGGCCCAGCCCAGATAAATACATCAGACGTATAATTTAAGGTTTTGAACCAGATAGTGAGTTTGTAATAACTCCGTAGATAAACTGAAACATTCCTGTCAGTAGCCATGACACGTTTAGATTCACAACGATGACGTGCTTGGATTACATATATAATAATCAAGTACCAAACTACAAAATATTCTTGGAATCAAACGATAATCTTCTACAACTTTTCCATTTGGTTGAATATACTGAAAACACAGAGATAAGTTATTTACAACCGGATTCTATTTGTTTTTTTAAAGACACAGTAAGTTGTACGAGTCAAAGATGGTTTTGTTTTTCTCCAGCGTGATTCATTAACCACTCTGATCTTCCATAAACGAGCTGAAATGTTTTGCTTTAGGCGTCCGGAGTTTTGTAACGTGATGCAGGTGAAACACGAGGCTGCTGAAAGGGTCACGGTTTGCTCCAGTTTTGTTTTGGGAAGGAGCAAAGTCCCCGTTCGATCTTGGCAGTGAGTTGAGTTGGCTAAGGAGCGAAGTGATGGAGGATTTCCACATTAAAGGTGACGAGGCACCTTCCCACAGTGAGCTCACACAGACTTAAACTTGTGAATTTGACTAACAGCTGTTTGTTTTAGCCACATCTGTGCAGCAGGACTGGACCACAGTCAGAAACACATGAAGCTTGAACAGACACCAACATGGAAGCTAAATAATAAAGAGCTATTAGCTAATTAAAAAGGTGTCATATGTGTTTTAGCCACCCAAGACTTTCAATAAGTGTATTTTTTTAAACATTTCCATCAGAGGGGGAGGGAAGTTACTCCCACAAGTTGGATATTTGTTTCCCTTTGACCTCCTAAAGAAACAAAAATGAAACTTTTTTTTATTTAACTCATTTACTCATAAAACCAGGCTGCAAGGTGGAACTGTTGGTAACTGCTGGGAGTGGTGGCGCAGAGGTTAGAAAAGCCTGCGATTAGGCTGTCGCTGGTTCAACTCCCCGTACCAATAACATCAAAATGTGAGTGGGAAAGGTGAAGCACCCACACCTTCCTCCGCCCTCATTTACCCCACTCTGGGCCTTGAGCAAGGCCTTTAACCCCCACCATCTGCTCCCCTGAGCGCCCTGGATGCAGCTCCCTGCTCCACACGGCTGTGGTAGCTCCGTGGTGTCAGGAAGTGCATCCGGTGTAAAAATAACGCCAAGTCAGAAAGGAGCAGCCGGAAGAAGAAGAAACGACTGGTTTCGTATCAAATGCATCATAAAAGTTTTTAGCTGAAATTTGAGACGTTTTTAAATGTGGATGAGAGAGTTTGATCAAATCTTTTGTGCTTTTTTTGTGGGAAAGACCAAAATCTGCAGGACGTTAATTAAAACGGTCATTTCTGGTCGTTGGAGAGATTAATTTCAGAATAAAACGGGAAACGTCATCACGTTCCAGGACTGTGCTGATTACACGTGCAGTACGGGGTTGTACAGTTTATTTTCATACATGAGGAATGTTTCAAGTCTTTGTAAACACCGTCGTCTTTTATACATCCTGTCCAACGCAGCACCTTGATGTGTTTTCAGTCAATCCTGCGACTGCAGCCTGAGGGCAGACTGGATCTTCAATGTGGCGTCAGTCCGAACTTTTCCCATTTGGAGCTTCAGGTACGTAGCAGCAGTGATGGGCTGTCGCGTGATGTGCCTTTCACAGGAATCCCAGAGATTGCATCATTAAATAAACAATCAGCTGTTTTCCCTCCTTATGGCATGTGGTAATTTAGTCTGAGCCAAGCACAGAAGTACAACTTGTACTATGTGTTTGCAGTATTTGCAGCCTCCCTGTTTAAGACAACAAACGGCAAAAAAGATGGAAACGGAGGCACGTAACCAAAGTTAAAGAAAAATACTCGTTCTGTTTATCGCCAACAACTGTTTTGTTGAATGTTCATTAATAAAATGCACAAGAAGCCAGTTTAGAGTCTTCCCCAGCGGCTGCTCAGCTCTAACGTGCAGAAAACTGATTTCTTTCATGAAGTTGCACACAAACATTAAATGGCACGTATGAAACCGAACATGGCACATTGTGTTCCTGTTCAGGGCGTGTCTGAATGAAGGCTGGAACAAATACTAATAATAAAACTCGTTTGTGTGTAAATGAAGTAAGGAATGCCCATCACCCACCACTTTTATTTAATTTTTATTTTTTGTTGTTTTAGCGTACGACTTTGGAATTTTTTTTATAATAAAAGGAAAGTTACAGCTTTTGGACAAACCTTGAAAATAAAGCCGTTTATTTCTGTAGCACCGAGTCGCAGAGAGCAGTTCTGGCAACGTTTATTATGTTGGGTTTGAACAAGACAAGTCTGAGGAACAGCTTCTACCCTGAAGCTGTTGGACTCTTAAATCCATAACCAGGAAAATCACTGTAAAAAAAAAAAAGACAAATCACTGTAAAAAAAAAAAGACAAATCACTGTAAAAAAAAAAAAAAAAGACAAATCACTGTAATGCCACTTTAATTGGTGATGTGCCACTTTATCTGTGCTGCTGATTTCTTTCCTTTAAGCTGCTGTACCCGTCTGCTCACTACAGACTCTTGTTTTGTTAAAAGAGGCGGGACACAATCTTCTTGACCTTAAATCAGACACAGAGCTAAAGTCTTAAAGTCCTCCATCACTGAGTTTGGGTTCATTACACAGAAAATCATAAAACTGAAGATGAACAAATACTTTAAAGCTGTGACCTCCATACACCTGAAGTCATCCCTGATGTTCTCGTCACTATGTTCAATCCTTGTGAGGATCCGGTGTCTCTTCTCCGGTGGTTTATTGTCGTCCAGACTCAAAATAGGACGCAGGTTTTCCTCCGTCGGCCGTTTGTCAACAAAGTGAAATGAGCTCACATGCAGAGTTTTGGGTTTTCTCTTCAACTTCACATTTTTCAGACATGTTCTTAATTCCTCATCTGCAGGTGGGAGATGGAAACTATAACTCTTTACACAGGAACTCTCTTTGTTTTACTCTGTTGTTGGAGCCACTGATTTAGTTTGGTCTGGTTGTTCTGCAGCCCTGAACACAACGGGTACCTGAACTCAGCACGGCTATTTTAGTAAACTTTATGTTTGTTAAATAACGTGAACAAAACAAAAACAGTTTTATCTTCTAAACTGAGTTCAAGTTACTTTAAAATAAACAGTGGTCCGTGCTCTGCTACCATGGTTACGGCTACTTCCTGTCTGACAGGAAGTTGTACCCATAAATCATTTCTAC